GCATGCGTAGTAGAACCCTCCGAGGGTGGGGCTGGGGTATCCACTAGCTCAGGCACCCCTATAGTCACCGGAATGGAGGTATGCAGACAGCAATGGACCAATGAACAGATACCCAAAAAAAAGAATATTCGCACCTTTTTCTCCGCACTTCTGTCAGACGTTCGTGGCTGCTGTGATCCTTCCCCCACTTGGTCTTACCCAAGATGGCGGCTCCTGGAGCAGCTGAGCGTCCTGAGTTAGAAAGCAATAGATTTCTTGCTTCTGCTACCAATTCCCCAGCTGTGAGCCTTCCAACCTTCTGAATATTCCTTTATATGTGTTCAGAGTTCTGGGACTAGCCCCTGAGCCTGCTTGGTTCTGTATTCTGTGTTGTTGCTGATAGAGCTCCTTTACTGCACTTCCACCGAATCCACCATCTTGTTTGGTCTCTCATGGCTCATATTTCTTGTGGGTAAATACCAAGTACAGGAATTGCTGGATCATAAGGTATTTCTGTTTCCAACCTTCTGAGGAAACGCCATATTGCTTTCCAGAGAGGTTGGACCATTTTGCAGTCCCACCAGCAATGCAGGAGTGTCCCAGTCTCGCCACATCCCTGCCAGCATTTATTGTCCTCTACTTTTTTTTAACTTTGCTATTATTGCTGGTGTGAGATGATATCTCATTGTTGTTTTGATTTGTATCTCTATGATAGGTAGTGATCGTGAGCATTTCTTCATATGTTTATTGGCTGCCTGGATCTCCTCTTTGGCGAAGTGTCTGTTCATGTCCTGTGCCCATTTTTAAATTGGGTTATTTATCTTTTTCTGTAGAGTTGTTGTAGTTTCCCATATATTTTAGAAATGAGTCCCTTGTCTGATGTGTCATTGCAAAAGATTTTTTCCCATTCTGTGGGTTCCCTTTTTACTCTCCCGGTGAAGTCTTTAGATGCACATAAGCTTTTAATTTTTAGTATGTTCCACTCATCTATTTTGTCTACTTTTGTTTGTATAGTTTTCAAAATGTTTGGTAGTCTGTGTATTCCCTGAATTAGTGCCCTAACATTTGTCCCTGTTTTTCATTGATGGCCTTCATAATTCTGGGATTCACATTTAGGTCTTTAATCCATGCTGAGTTGGTTTTTGTATAAAGTGTGAGGTGAAGGTCTTGTTTCAGTCTTTTGCATATCGCTTTCCAGGTCTGCCAGCACCATCTGTTGAAGAGACTATCACCTTCCCAGGCGATATATTTAGGTGTTTTGTCAAAAATCAGTTGGCTGTATGTGGATGGGTTGATTTCTGGATTCTTGATTCTGTTCCATTGATCAATGTACCGGTACCAAGTAGTTTTGACCATTGTAGCCGTGTAATAAATTTTGAAGTCAGAGAGTGAGAGGTTTCCAACCTTATTTTACTTTTTAAACGGTGCTTTGCTTATCCTGGGTCTCTCATGAACTTTTTTTATTTCTAGAATAAACACCTTTAAAACATGTGCTGGATGTGAGGGACGAGGCTTCGTTTGCCTTTCCGCGCCTTGAATTTCCTTAGACAGAACTTCAGCTCTTTGCCTTCTAGAACATAGGTATCTGCTAGGTCACACTGGCCTGATCTTGAAGCGATACATGCAAGAAGCTTGCCCTGCTGGACTTGCTCCTCCAAAAGACTGCTGATTCTTGCATTCTTTTTCCTTTCATCGTAATTTTTCTGAATTTTCTTTGCTCGCTTTTTGTTTAATATCTCTTTCTCTTCAGGAGTCAGTTTGGCTCCCTTCTTGCGGCCCAGAGGCAATGTATAGTGGGACTTGTGCCACTGCTGGTACAGTGTGCTGTCAACAAGCATGATGCAGTTCTTCACTAAGGTCTTGGTGCGGACCACCTCATTATTGGACGCATTGTAGACAACATCAGTGATCCTTGTTTTCCAGGTACAACACTCAGAACCCCAGGAGAAGGTCCCCACATCCAGCCTCAGGGCCCGGTACTTCTTGATGCCTCCTCTAACATGTACAGTGTGTATGTGGCAGGGGCCCATCTTAGTGTTGGCAGCCGGGAGTCCCAGCTCATACTTCCCCAGTCTTGCGGCGCTTGTGCCAATTTTCCAGGGAGGTACCCCACTATCATGGCCGCAAACCAGAGAAAGACTCACCCATCACTCCTCTCATGAACTTTTAAGATCCTAGTCACTACTCACCAAAGTAGGCTGTAGAACACTGTCTTTGTGGACTTTGTTGAAGCATGTAAGATTTTTGCCTCCTTTATTTTACCAGTTCTGTTGGCAGGTGACCTCTGTAAACATCTCAAACTAGCTAGCTGACTGAGATCATTTCAAGCAAACATGTTTTTCCCAAACAGTTCTTTATTCAAATTAAAAAGGACTTACAATATGAGAGGATTAGTGAGGACTTAATATCAAGCAACAATCTCTCTCTTAAAATAATTTTTTTGGGTATTTAAAAACCTTTGACTTGGCCTGTGTGGCCCAGCTAAGGAATGCAACTTGAACCCAGCAGATGCAGTTATGCCCTCGAGGCAGGTGTTGTGGTGTGGGGCCTAGCAGTGAACAGTGCTGGAGCTGAGAGAACATGTCTAAGCCACTTGGGAAGGTGGGGGAGGGGGTTTCTGTGGAGTGAGTAGAAGTGAGGCAGGTGGAGCAGGGGGAGGCAGGTGTAAAGGCCTGGAAATAGAAAGGAGAATGGGGGTGGGGGGGCTGGAGGAGCTAAAAGTAGTCCAGATTGGTGAGGCACAGAGTCCAGTTGCGTCAGTCCCAGTGGAGCCTTAAAGGCCATGGTAAGGAGCTGGGGCTTCCTTGAGGACAGTGGAGTTTTCAGCAGGCGAATGGAGGTCAGATGTATGTTTCCGATAGACATGCCTGACTGCTAGGTGGGAGAAGACCCTGGTGGTGGGGTGCTTGGGAAGGGAGTCCTGATGACCCCAGGTCTCCCGGCAGCTCTCCCCACCTGGTGCAGGTGCGTGAGCGGATCCGCATCAACGGGCAGCCCATCAGTCCTGAGCTCTTCACCAAGCACTTCTGGCACCTGTACCACCGGCTAGAGGAGACCAAGGTGCCCCGTGGAAGACTGGAGGGCTGAGGGTGGGTGGGAAAGGGTGCGCTAGAGTGGGTGAATGGAACCAGAGGGTACTGCATGTCAAAGGATCCCACGCCCTCAAAGGAGGGGCTACGCGTTCCAGACTCTGATGTGTTTCTGTGCCACAGGATGACAGCGCTGTCTCCATGCCCGCCTACTTCCGCTTCCTCACACTCATGGCCTTCCACGTCTTCCTGCAGGAGAAGGTGTGTGCCTCTTCCCAGAACCCTGTGTCTGAGGTCTTGGGGAGGGCAATCTCAGCAGACTGGGGGCTCTCTGCCCACATAGCATTTTGGTACCCTGTACCCTTGTCATGCCTTCTGGTCCTCTGCAGGTGGACCTGGCGGTGGTGGAAGTGGGCATCGGTGGGGCTTATGACTGCACCAACATCATCAGGTGAGGATGGATACTTGTGGTGAGGAGTGGGGTACCAGAAGCCTAGGCCTCGCCTATTACCTAGCGACTCAGGTCGAGGAGGTCATGGCCCTTTCATCTTTCACAGGAAGCCTGTGGTGTGTGGGGTCTCCTCTCTTGGCATCGACCACACCAGTCTTCTGGGGGACACAGTTGAGAAGATTGCCTGGCAGAAAGGGGGAATCTTTAAGGTGACCAGTTAGGCTGGACTATGGGGAGACACATGGAAGACTTGGGCTTAGCCCTCGGGCTCAGGGAAGCGGGTTGGGACAGGGCATTTGTGTCCTGATTAAGGACAAGGTTCTAGGCATCTTTGGGGTGACTAGAGCAAGCTGAGCCTCCTTTCTAGTTTCTGTCTCCCTATCACAATATGAGGGATGAGGTATTCTCATAGTCCTGGGTGAGAGATATGAAGTAGGCAGCCCAGACCCAGGGTTGGAAGGGTGGAACCTGGGCCGCCCCTGCCTTACTTTTCCTGACCCCCCACAGTGTGGCGTTCCCGCCTTTACAGTGCTCCAGCCTGATGGTCCCCTGGCGGTGCTGAGGGACCGTGCCCTGCAGATCTCAGTGAGTCGGGTAGAACGGTGTTCTTTGTGGTCTCAGTTTGCTCGTCTGTGCAGTGAGGGAGCTGGGACACACCTTGGTTCTGGGAGCAGGGCTTGATGGGCTCTGGCTGGTGAGGAATGGGGTCCGGGAGGACCTCATGGCCCAGGAGTCAGCTCCCCTGATCAGCTGCTCTCCATCTCCTGTCCAGTGTCCTCTCTACCTGTGCCCGTCACTGGAGGCCCTGGAGGAAGGGGGGCCACCACTGACCCTGGGCCTGGAGGGGGACCACCAGCGGTCCAATGCTGCCTTAGCCTTGCAGCTGGCCCGCTGCTGGCTGCAGCGGCAGGACTACCCAGGTAAGTGGACAGGTGAGTGGGTGGGCTCTGCCTGGGGTGGAGGGGATGGTGGTGGTGGTGGTACTGAGCACTTGGTTTCCCACAGGTATCGGGGAGCTGAAGGCATCCAAGCCAAGCCCCCTGCGCCAGCTGCCCCTGGCACCCGTGTTCCAACTCACATCCCATATGCGGCATGGTGAGCCGGGTTTTCCTGTCCAGCCAGGCATTTTTGTGCTCTTTTAGATGTTTCTTCTGGTTTTCTATTTGGGAGGCCCACCTCAGTTTGAGCTGGTGACTTGAGGTATTGATAGGACCTATTGCAAAGGGTGGTTGTGAGGATTCTGTAAGACGATGTGGCTAAGGTGCTGAGCCCAGGCACGATGGAGATAGATGACATACCTGGTCGGTGGTGGATGCTGTAATTGTCATCTAATTACTGTCATACTACGAGGTTCTTGAGAATGAGAACACTGTCATTTGCTTTGATATCCCCAAAGTTCTGGGCACATAGTAGGTGCTCATGGCTGTTAAACCCCTTCAGCAAATGATTCCAGTGTACCCACTGTATGCCAGGCCCCATGACAAGGGTTCTAGAACCAGGCAGATCTCAGTCCCATGGCCCTCACTGAGCTAAGGCCCCCTCCTACTGTAAAATTGGAATACTCTATGATACCTGTTCCTTCTAAGGGTTTTCTGGAAGATTCCACAGATAGGCAACTAAAGAGCTTATTGACTCTTCAGTAAGCTCTTCAGTAAGAGGCTCATGCAATTTTCAAATCCCCAGAGTGCTCTGCAGTGGGACCACAGAGGGCCGGGCGAGCCTGTTCCGGCTTGTGTACTGTGAGAGAGAATATGGGGGGGTCATTCTTGTGGTGGTGGCTAGAGGGTTGCCTTTGCTCCTCTTCTCCTATCCTAGGGCTTCGGGACACAGAGTGGCCTGGCCGAACCCAGGTTCTGCAGCGTGGGCCCCTCACCTGGTACCTGGATGGTGCCCACACCTTGAGCAGCATGCAGGCCTGCGTGCACTGGTTCTGCCAGGCGCTGCAGAGTCATGAGAAGCTGAACAGGTTAGTGCCGCAGGAGTGTGGCTAGGGGTGGCACTGGGCCCAATAGTGAGGGGTAGTGACTCGTGGACCTGTTGCTGAAGAGAGGTGGGGCCTGGAGGAAGGGCTGTGGTGGGACTTGAAAATAGTGGGGGTAGGGCAAAGGGAGATATTGCTGCCTCTGACCCCTTCTCCTACAGTGGGCGGCAGGTGCGTGTCCTGCTCTTCAATGCCACTGGTGACCGGGACCGGGTGGCCCTGCTGAAGCTGCTACAGGTGAGGGACCTCCCCTAGGGTTGTCTGGCAGGTAGCCCAGGACTGGCTTTCCCATTCTTAGGCTGACCTCAGGCCAACACTTTCATCCTGAGCCTGCATTTCCTCAACTGTAAAGTGGGATTATTCCCCATCCTATGGATTATACTGAGCACTATATGTGGACACACCTGGTGAAGTTTAGGATCCTGGGCAAAAGATGTCACTTCCCTGAGCCTCAGTTTGTCTCAAAACTGGGTTGCTAAGGGTACCTGCTTCTCAAGTTAGGGTTGAGGAGTTATGTATAAGGCATGTGAAAGCCTTTCTCTGCTTGGGGAAACTGAGACTGTCCGGGCCCTCAGAGCTGAAATAGCTCCTGTTGTTAAGTGCCATTGAATCGGTTCTGCCTCGTGGCTACCCTGTACAGGGTTCCCAAGGAGCGGCTGGTAAGTTTGAACTGCTAACCCTGTGGTTCAAACTGACCTGGCAGTCCAATGCTTTATCCCACAGCACCACACCAGGACTCTGAACTGGCTCCTAGGGATCTGGTTTTTCACTCCATTTTATAGACAAGGTGGCTGAGGCTCTTCATGTCCCACTTGTACAGTCTGTTCTCCAGCGCAGATTTGGGACTGGATGATTAGCTGTGTGACCTGAAATAGCCTCCCCGCCCCAAGCCATGTCTTTACCATCCAGACCAAAGCATGGCAGGGTGTCTAGAGGTGATTAAGAGGAGCTGCGCTTGCTGGCCGCAGTTCTTCAGTTCAACTGGGGCTCAGGGCCATGCCCATCTCCAGAGAAATGGGGTACATGCAGAAGTGTCAGGATTGGGGCAGGTCCTTTCTGGCCTCTGACATCAAGTCTACCTCCTTGACCTTCTAGCCCTGCCAGTTTGACTATGCTGTCTTCTGCCCCAATCTGACAGAGGTGTCATCTGTAGGCAATGAAGGTAAGGTGGTCCGGGGGCGGGGACTTAAGGTGGACTGTGGGGGCTTCTGAGAAGGAAACTAGAAGTCTAGAGGATTGTATAAGTACCCTATGGTACATTCTGAATTTTATACCATGTGATGCAATGCTGAAAAAGCATTATCTGAAAAAAAAACTTTTCAAAATGCAAGTTACAACCTACTAACAGTTATTGAAATTATTTTGTTGTTAAATGTCATTGAGTCGGTTCTAATTCATAGCGACCCCTGTGTAGGGTTTCCAAGGAGTAGCTGGTGGATTTGAACCACCAACCTTGGGTGCTGGTTCAAACCAACCTTGTGGTCCAGTGCTGATCCTACAGCACCACACCAGGATCCGTTGACTGGGTTTTACTTAACTGACGTTTTTCTTTTAAATACTGAATGGAATGGCATAACATGTGACTGTCTGTAACTCCCATAGCTGACAGTAAGAGGTTAGGGCTACAGCTGATACAGGAACTGAATTGTGGAAGAGCCCACCTGAGTGGCTTGGGACAAATCCCTCCCTCTCTTTGAGCCTCAGTTGGCTTCAAAAAGTTAATGGAAAATTGGCATTAAAACATAATAGAATTTTTCCACAAACTTTTGGAAGCCTCCTTGTTATCGGTGTGCATTGCATGAAGTAAGGGTAGGTACTGTTTCATGCAAATTTTGGTCCAGATATACACCTACTGGGTACAGTGTAAAACTATCTTTTTTGTACATTTGTATAGTACCTTTTGTTTTCATAAGGCACTTTCATATTCACAAGGAGCCCTGGTGGTGCTGTGACCTGAGCTTTGACTGTTAACTTCAAGGTCACTTCTGACACACCTGGCCCTCTCCCCTGTCTCTAACACCCCTCACCACTGTGCTTGTCCCTGTACCCTGTAGACCAACAGAACTTCACAGTGACACTGGACCAAGTTCTGCTTCGCTGCCTGGAACACCAACAGCATTGGAGTAAGCTGGCCGCCAGCCCGGACCTCTGGGGGCCTCCCAGCCTGGAGTCTGGTGGCCCCACCTCCCTGCTGCTGGTACCCCATCCACCCCACGCTCACAGCACCAGCTCCCTTATCTTCAGCTGCATCTCCCATGCCTTACAATGGATCAGCCAAGGCCGGGACCCCATCTTTCAGCCATCTGGTCTCCCACGGGGCCTTCTTACCCACCCAGTGGTAAGCAGAGGAGCCAGGATACTTCAGGAGGCTGTTGCTGTCCATGTGCTGGTCACAGGCAGCCTGCACCTGGTGGGTGGTGTCCTGAAGCTGCTGGAGCCCTCCCTGTCCCAGTAGCTGAGGGTGCAGGGTCAGAGGTGGGGCCTTCCCACACCTGCCCTGCGTTCTCTCCATGAACTCCTTAAGAGGTGCCTTTGTTTTCTGCTTTCCTGGTTCTGTCTTGCTAGCCCACAGACCCAGGCACAGGGCACTGGATTAGGGGACTAGAGGTGGGGAAGCTGGAAGGGGACATCCCTGTCTCTAAGCCTGGGGTGCCCTTGGCCTCAGTGCCACTCTGTGCCTTGGTCTCTCCCCCAGAGGTCTCCCCTCTTACTTGTGTCAGTTCTAAAACTAGTAGCAGGCCTGGAAGCCCAACCCATCTTCCCCACACCTTACTGCCTCTTGGCACAGGCCCAGTGTATTATGCGAACTGCCTGGCCAGGCCTAGGGTCCCACCGGGTGCCGGTGATGGATTCCTCCTTCCAGTGCCTTCTGGGAAAATAAAGGACCCCTGCCTGGGGGCCCCTGGGGACAGAGAATGGTTGCAGTAAATTTTTTTTAAAAAAAGGCAGAATTTGTGACTTTTTTGAAGTTCCTGTAGCAGCCAATAGGGGCAGGGGCTGGAGGAACTGGATTATGTAGGAGCCTGCCTCTGCACTGGGTCAAGTCCTTCCCCAGTTGGCTTGTCTGAACAGATAATCTGACAGCTTTCTCCATGATAGGGGCCCTGGTGGCACTGTGGGTTAAGTGTTGGGCTACTGACCATAGGTTAGTTTAACCATAGCAATTCAAACCCACCAACGGCTTCAAGGGAGAAAGATGAGGCTGTCTGCTCCCATTAAGATATACTGTCTCAGAGGTGTCACAGAGCAGTTTGACTCTGCTCTGTCTAGGGTTGCTATGACTTAAAAAATCAACTCACTAGCAGAGGATCACTTCCTCCTCCATGGCAGGCACTGCTTTGCAGAGACCTGTGACTGAGCAGTTAATGCTCAGTTACAGACAACGGAGTTGTGGCTGGTGTCAAGTGACCACACAGCCAGGAAGTGGCAGCTTCAGGATTTGGACCCAGAGCTGTTGAGAGCCTGTGTTCACAACTCCAGAGCCAAAATGTCAACAGAGCATCCTGGTTTTTGGTTTCTCACAGCCCTGGTCTCCAAGTCAGTGAGTGGCTGAGGAGGGACTGTGTTTAGTCCATACCTGTTATGGCCTAGCTTATTGTTTAACCTGAGCATGTGCCACTTGTTACCAGGCTGGCCGACCCACTGTTCTGTGCCCCAGCCTCTTGTACGTTCACATGTACATACCCTATCATGAATGCCCCCCACTTCATCTAGCCCAGCCCAGCCCAGAACTGGTTTCATGGTCTGATTTATTGGTGAGTATACAGGGGTGGGTCTTGGGCAGGCAGATTGGCTACTCCCTATCTACTGCCCACTTAATGGCTGGGAGGGGGTCTCAGTGTGGCAGTTGCAGGGAGACATTAAGGCCTTCCCCACCCTCTGGCCTCTCAGGCTTCTGCGTCCTCTGTCCGTGAGGGCATGGAGGCTACTGGAACCAGATTCATGTGGCGTTGGCTGGACCCGCTTCTGTTCCCACAGAGGAGGTGCTGTCGGCCCTGGTGGGTCAGGCTGAGTCTGGTCCAAGTTCTCATCTCCCACTCTGTCGACTTCAGTGAGTGTCAGGTCCTCATAGCAACATACAGTGCAGGGCGGTGGTCTCTCCATGGGCCTGGGCTGCTGTACCCCAGACTCTGGATTGGAAGGTTCTTTAAGGCAGGGTGGGGTGGGAGACCCCAAATGTCCCAAGTCGGCACCCCTGCTGGCAGCAGGCCCCTGTGGGAGGCAGGAAGAATGGTTCATCCTGGGTCAAATGGAGGCGCTGGGGTCCTGGGAGAGTTCATGGCCAATGGTTCCCAGCTGGTGGCTGCTCAGTATCTCCTGCTGGGTGAGGGCAGTCTGGGTGGCTCCCGGGGTCCAGGCTGGGTGCTACGCCATGCTGCTGGTGGAGCAGGGTGTGCTCTGGGTGCTCCCGATGCTGTGGTTGGTGCTGCTGCTTTCTGAGGAGGCTGGAGCAGCCACTGCCACCACGGGCTCCCGCTTGCTAGGGTGACCTGGGGGTGGGGGGGCAGGGGCGGAGGTCAGGACCCCAGCCAGGAATCCCCACTCCCCCGAGCCTCACTGGACTTCTATGAGGTGGAGGGTCCCTGAGCGTCACTGATACTCACGAGTGTGGGAGTAGATGTACCAGAGCGCTGCAGTGAGCAGAGCCCCGATGAGGAAGGCGCCAAAGGTGATGCCCAGCACGGCAGGCAGGACGAGGCCTTTGTCTGCAAGCAAATGAGCCAGTGGTCAGCACTGCAGCCTCCTCCCTGGGCCCATCTTCGACACCCACCCTGGTGTACTAGCCAGCAGCAGGCTTTCGTACCAGTCACAGCTCAACCACTAACCCTGACTTCCCTGGACCTGCCTTCATCTAGCAAACGAGCTTGCCACACCCATGCTCACTGGAGATTAAGGACAACAGCAGCCCTGTTCTGTGCCCCCAGCCCCTCTTGTACCTTCATACGTACACACCCTTATCACGAATGCCCCCTGCTTCATCCAGCATGGTGCTAGGCCATCATAGACCCAGAGGGCCCAGCCAGGCCTTTGGAGCCAGGCCTCTGCCTCCCAAGGCTGATGGAGAAGCCCCTTCAGGGAGAACAGATGGAACAATGGGGCAAAGACCATGGGTCCTGGAAGTGTAGAGCCTGGCCTGGCCTGCCTTGTGACCTTAATCAATCCCTGCCCTCTCTGAGCTCTTCAGCTCTGCTCTTAGGTTGCTACAAGCCTCATTACTCTCATACTCCTGACGACTCTGTGACTATGGGCCAGGCAGCCTCCCCTTGGGCCTCTTTAAGTTCCCATCTATGCAGTGGGGTTATCAGCCCTGTTCTATTGGTCCTGGGCTAGGGGTGAGGCTCTGTCCTGGTCAGGATGGGGTGGCAAAGAGGTGGATGTTCCATAATTCCATCCCTAGTATCAAGAACTCTTCCTGCTTGGAGCTGAACAAACAGGCTGGAGGACATTGGGTTGAGGGGTCATCTGACATACTCCCGGGCATCACCCAAGAGACCTGAACCAAGGAGGACCCATTTCCTAACCAACTCTGGAAATCAAAAACTAGATAAGGAACCAGAGGCCTGGGATCCGGTCCTGGGGCTGCTCATGAGCAGTCTCCATCTCTTTAAGGTGCAGCTGTTGGTCCTAGTTTAGGCTGCTCTAAGGAGCCCTCTCCCCACACCTTCTCCCAAGATTGTTTTGTGAGGTCCTCCCTACTGTGTGCCTCGGGCCCATCCCTCAGACTGTCCATTCTGACTGCACTGACTCGTCACTTGAAGGAAGCCAAGACACCCAGAGGGAGCTCACCGGTCAGGCCAGGGCTGATGATGTTCAGGTGCAAAGAGACCTTCTTCTGCACTTCCTGGGGAGGAAGAGAGAGTGGTATGTGGCCCAGCCTCTGGGTTCCAGTCTCAGTGGCTCTGAGCTCTGGCTTACCATGGCCCACCTTGGAGTCTTGGGTTTGAGTCCCATCTCCACCACTTTAGCTGGAAGCACTGGACCCAGGCCTTACTCACCTGGGATGAAGTCCTGGGACGCAGGCCTATGATGCAGCGGAGGGTGCCTGTTGTGGGTGTGGGCACCATGTAACCACGGAGGAGGAAGCTGAAGCGTAGGTCACCATCAGGGCTGGGGGACAGCAGGTTTACACAGTTGCCCTTGGCTGCCTGGTGCTGGATGAGTTCTACAGTGTCTGCCTCACGTCCTAAGTCCAGGTGGCAGCTGTCTAGTTGGAACGTAAGCTCAGAGATGGACGGGGTCATGCTCACCTGCACAGGTGGGTAAGGAGATGAGACACAATCAATTACTCTTAACCTTTCACCCCATCTACTGTCACTAGAATGTCAACTAGAATGACAAGTTCCTGCCCCTGAAGCCTAATGGAGGAAGGAAAGGCAGGGGCTGTGTGGAGCAAATAAGGTGGCATTCTGATCAGTACCTATAAGCTCTGCCTTTTCTGTCTATCCCTCTCCTCCCTCCTTCCTCTACAAAGTCCAATTCTCTTCTATGGATTAATGATGGAAAGAGAGGCTCCTGAGAAATTCCAGGAATTGGTGGCCTGAGGTGGTGACAGGCTGAACCAGTACCTGCACAAAGCCCTGCTGGCCCAGTTCGATGGTGTTGGAGGTCTGGAGAAAGTGCCGGCTGAGGTAGAGGCCCAGCTGGAAGGAGACGCCTTCCATCTTGATGCAGTGCACCTCTTTCTGTGGGGGGATGGATGGAAGGGTAAGTCTGGAAGGTGAGGGGATGGGAGGAAGTAGCAAGCATCATGGTCCATGGCAGTCCCCTAGCCCTTCTCTTTATCTTTGCTTTTTTTTTTTTTTTTAAATTAATACAAGGGAACTTCATGGAGTTTTTCCGCAAACTTTTGGAAGCCTCCATGTTGACCAGAAATTCACTCCACAAGATCAGTATAAAATGCTTTTTGAGTTTACTCTCAGTGGTTGTTAATAAGCGCCCCTATTGGACTCGGTCTTTCTTAAGCCATTGTTTAAGATTATGAATGACATTAGGTGTAAGCTTAAGTGAGTAACCTAAAGTCACACAGCCAGTATACACTACAGCCTCTAACTCCAGGCTAAGAATGTCCTGTTTAATGACACTGCTCCGTGGTACAGAATGGAGACTCTGAGATGCCTAAACCACACACGGCTTGTCAGGATCAGGGCATGAGTTCTCTGGTCTGCTCCCTCCCATGCCAGAAACGGATCCCAGTCCCAAGCAGCAGAATGTGGTCTACATGGGCTAGCACAGTGACTGTCCCATCTTACCCGCTGTGATGAACTTGACAAGAAGTTGACGATCACCTGCAAGGATCAAGTTGAAGTAGTCAGAGCTAGTAGGGACCCCCAAGGGTATCCCACCCAATACACACATTTTATAGATGACTAAGCTTGTCCTGTGAGCCTACTGAGCACTAGGCCCTGCAGCCTGGAAGGTGATGGAGGCTTCCAGAGGGAGGCACCAACCAAGCTTTCCTTGAGATCTTTCCAGCTCCAGCTCGTACCTCATTGATGATCACATTTTCTGTCACTTCTGTGCCACACTTGGAATAGGTGCTGCGCAGAACAAACTTGTCAGCACTGTCTTCAGCCTGGCAGCTGGGGTCCCGAAAGGTCAGGCCACTGATGGTGCATTTTATAGCCTAGGTTAGAAGGGCAGGAGGAGCAGGGTGTATCAGGAACATCCCACCCCAGCACCCACAACTGACCATATCCCAGGGGTCCCAAATCACAGCTATTTCCTCTGATCCTCTCTTCATTTGTTTGAGCTCATCATCCTAGACTATGATTTAATACTTTTCTGGACTTGACTTAGCTAATCTTAGGACACTAAGCCATGTTAACTTTGATATTATGAGCTTGATCTGCTTATTTTTTTTTCTAATATCCACATTAAAATATTCTGTTGTTGCTATGTAAAGTCGATTCCTACTCATATCTACCCTATATAGGACTTCCAAGAGTGGTTGGTGGGTTTGAAACACCAACCTTGCTGTTAGCAGTCTAGCGCTTATCCTACAGTGCCACATCAGGGCTCAAAATAAATATAGAACTATTAAAGTTAAAAGCAGCCATGTTGTCGCTGGGAAGGGCCATTGAGTCGGTTCCAATGACGTATAGTGTTTCCAAGGAGTGATAGTGGGTTTGAACTGCAGACCTTGTGGTTAGCAATCCAGTGCTTATTCAACAGCACCACACCAGTACCCCTTATATAACACATAAATGAATGGGTATGACTGGGTTCTAACAAAACTTTAATTACAATAACAAACAGCAGGCCATAGTTTGCCTATTCTTGGTTTTAGAATTTCTTAGTCACTCTTAGCATCAAAGGATCTCAGAGTCTTGGAGTTCTGTAGGCTGCTGGAGACCACACTTGAGTCCATCTGGCCAATTCTAGTGGAGTCCTCCAGGATGTTGCTCCTAGCTGCTACTGCCCTCCAGTGGCCTGGGGCATGTTAGCCAACACCAGGCCACCAAGCAAAAAGGGCTCTGAGTGAAGTCCCCAGTAACAAACAACCCTATAATTCAAACAAGCCCACTGTGACCATATTGCTTCACATTTAGGGTGAATCTGTTCAGATCTTTTTATTCGTGTTCTCTTTGGTAACAGATATACATACTTAGAGAATATGTTAAGTATTGTATTCTGTTGTATTTTAAACAAATGGTATCATACTTTCCTTAATTTTGCAGTTTAGTTTTCTCACCCAACATTGTTGTTGCTGTTGTTAGGTGCCATCGAGTCAGTACTGACTCATAGAGACCCTATGTACAACAGAACAAAACACTGGCTAGCCCTGGGCCATCCTTACAATTGTTGCCATGCTTGAGCCCACTGACACTGCCACTTTGCCAATCCATCTCATTTAGGGTCTCCCTCTTTTTCTTTGACCTAACCAAACATGATATCCTTTTCTCCAGTGACTGATCCCCCCTGACAATAAGTCCGAAGTATGAGAGACGAAGTTTGGCCATTCTGGCCTCCAAGGAGCACTCTGGCTACACTTCTTCCAACACAGATCTGTTTTTTTTCTCCTCCAACACCATAACTCAAATGCATCAATTCTTCTACAGTCTTCCTTAGTCACTATCCAGCTTTTGCATGCATATGAGGTTATTGAAAATATCATGGCTTGGATCAGGCAGACCTTACTCCTCAAGCTGACATCTTTGCTCTTTAATACTTTAAAAAGGTCTTGTGCAGCAGATTTGCCTAATGCAGTATATGTCATTTTATTTCCTAACTGCTGCTTCCGTGAGTGTTGATGGTTGATCCAAGAAGAATGAAATCCTTGACAAATTCAATTTTTTTCTCCGTTGATACAAATGTTATTTATTGGTCCAGTGGTGAGGATTTTTGTTTTCTTTACATTGAGATGCAATCCATACCAAAAGCTGTGGTTTTTGATCTCCATCAGTTAAGTATTTTAAGTCCTCGTCACTTTCAGCAAGCAAGGTTTCAGTACCCAACATTAATCATACAATTTTTCTGTTTCTCTATTATACATCTAAGGAGCTCTGGTAGCATAATAGTTACGAGTTGGGCTGCTAATCTCACGGTCAGCAGTTTGAAACTATCAGCAGTTCTGTGGGAGAAAGAAGAGGCTTTCTGCTCCCATAAAGATTTACAGCCTTGGAAATCCTATACAGGGTTGCTATGAGTCAGAACTGACTCCATGGCACATAAGCATCACCACCATTACACATTGACTACCTTTGTTTTGTTTTGTTTTTGTTTAACTGCAGCAGAGCATTCCAAAGATGACTGCTGTTGTTGTTAGGTGCCACTGAGTCATTTCTGACTCATAGCAACCTTATGAACAACAGAACGAAACATTGGTGCCGTGCCAACCTTACAATCGTTGTTGCTGCCACTATGCCAATCCATCTCATTGGGAGTCTTCCTCTTTTCTGCTGACACTCCACCTTATCAAGCATGATGTCCTTCTCCAGGGATTGGTCCCTTCTGATAATATCCGAAGTATGAGAGATGAAGTCTGGCCATCTTGGCTTCTAAGGAGCATTCTGTCTGTACTTCTTCCAGTACAGATTTGTTTGTTCTTCCAGCAATCCATGGTACTTTTAATATTCTTCTCCAACACCGTAACTCAAATGCATCAATTCTTATTCACTGTCGAACTTTCATATGCATATGAGGCTATAGAAAATACCATGGCTTGAGTCAGGCGCATCTCAGTCCTCAAACTGACATCTTTGCTCATGAACACTTTTTAAAGAGGTTTTGTACAGATTAATCTAATATGGTATGTCCTTTGATTTCTTGACTGCTGCTTCCATGAGAGTTGGAAGTGAATTCAAGCAAAATGAAATCTTGAATAACTTAAGTCTTTTCTCCGTTTATCATGATGTTATTTATTGGTCCACCTGTGAGGATTTTTGTTTTCTTTACATTGAGGTGCAACCATTATTGAAAGCTGTGGCTGTTGATCTTCATCAGTAAGTATGTCACACTGTGGCGGCTTGTGTGTTGCTAGAAGCTATGCCACCAGTATTTTAAATACAGGCAGTGTCACCCATGGTGAACAGGTTTCAGCTGAGTTTCTAGACTAAGACAGATTAGGAAGAAGAGGCAGACTGCTTCTGCATTTTTAGCCATTGAAAATCTTATGTATAGCAGCAGAACACTGTCAGATACAGTGCTGGAAGATGAGCCCCTCAGGTTGGAAGGCACTCAAAATGCGACTGGGGAAGAGCTGCCTCCTCCAAGTAAGATCGACTCTGATGAGGCAAATGGAGTAGAGCTTTTAGGACTTCATTTGCTGATGGGCCACAACGCAAAATGAAGAGAAACAACTGTAAATATCCACTCATAGTGACCCTATATAGAGTTTCCCAGAAGTGACTGGTGGGGTTGCACTGCCAACCTTGTGGTTAGCAATCCAGTGATTATCCTACAGCACCATACCAGGACCCCAAAGATCACTGCTGTCGAGTCTCAGTTCTGACTCATAGTGATCCTGTATAGGATTTCCAAGGAGTGGCTGGTGAGTTCTACCACCGACCTTGAGGTTCAAACTGACCTTTCTGTCCAGAGTTTATCCTATAGAGCCACACCAAGACTCCAGTCCAAAGATTGTTGTTGTTAAGTGTCGTCAAGTCGGTTCAGACCCATAGCGACCCTGTACAGGGTTTCCAAGGGTGTAAATCTTTACGGGAGTAGAAAGCCTCATCTTTCTCCACAGAGCAGCTGGTAGTTTCGAACCGCTGACCTTAAGGTTTGCAGCCCGATTCGTAACCACTACGCTACCAGAGCTCCTTAGTCCAAAGACTAATGGATTATAATTTATTCATCCAGGTGCCAATGAGTCAGTTGTAACTCATACAACCCTGTATAGGGTTTTTAAGGAATGATTGGTAGGTTTGAATTGTCGATCTTGAGGTTTACAGTTAAGTGCTTAATCTATAGTGTCACACCAGGACTGAGGTTTCTATATGTCCTCTTAAAAATGATGTGACAGGGACCATCTTTTTGCAACAGGAAACAGGGTGGTGGAATTACTGGGTCATAAAGCAACATTTCTTAGTCCTGAAACCCTATACAGGGTCGCTATGGGTTGGAACCGACTTGATGGCACTTAACAACAACAAAGCAACATTTCTGAGTCCTGGTATGGCGCTGTGGGTTAATAGCACCAGCCTGAAAGCCGTTTGAAGTGTAAGGTCAGTTTCAGGCTCACCGACTGCTCCTCGGAAACCCTATACAGGGTTGCTATTGGTCTGAATTGACTCAATAGCACTTAAGAACAACAACAAAGCAACATTTACATCATAAATCTTAATGATGAACTATAAAGGCTGTGGTCAGATTGCCCTCCAGTGGGCTGTATCAGGACCTAAACTTTCATCAGCAATACATGAAGGAGGTTCCATTTCCCCTCACCTTGGCTAAGGTGTTGCTTTTCTCTTGTCTACTTCTCAACACTCCAAGGATGTCCAGCTAATTTGTCTAAGAGAACTTCTCTTTATTGCCAAAGAAAGCAGTTCCTAAAATTTGGGGAGAAAGTTGGGAGCTCTGGAAAGACTGCCGAGATGCTGAAACAAGGACTTAGGACTGGGCAGAAGTAATGTCAGTACCTCCTTCACCATCTTGACATTTGCAGAGCCAGGCAAAAGCAGTGGCAAACAGAAGGTAGGTGGCAAGCAGGTTTTTCTGTTCTGCATCCCAAAACACTTCAGTGAAGACTTAACCACAGGGTGAATGCCATTCTAAGAATGCCTGAGAGAACCTGAATGATTTATCAAGGGCTCTGGAGAGAGAATTTTTACCTCAGAAAAGCCAGACGAAAGCACAAAGAGAAAGATGGACAGCTAGGACGGCCCAACGTTTTAAAACATTTCAAAAGTTAAAAACGGTTTTAACCACAATTTAAAGAACTATAACAAATTGGGAGTGGTTTTAGTAAGAAAATGGATAAAGGACTCCCAAAAACATTTTAATGTAAAACACTTATAAAAATTATATATAAAAAAAATACCAAGCCCCAAAGGTAAAGAGGCTTAGGTTATTGTCAGTCATGGAACCATTCCCACGATCACTGCTAATCAAAGAACTAAATTAAAACAAGACTTAGACACTATTCCCTACTTCCCATGTTGTCAAGAGTTTATTTGTTTGCTTTTAAATAATAGTTTGGAAAGAAGCAGTCAAGAAACCCTCATAAATCAGCAGGGAAAATTACAATTGTGTTTTGCAAAGCAGTATGTACCCAAACTTCCAGAATGTTCACTCATTTTGACCCAGCAATCTCACTAATGTGGAAATCTACCCTAAGAAGATAATTAGAAATAAAGAAAAGCTTTATGTACCAGGATATTGTCTACATATTCATATTACAAAATTGGAAACAATCTAAATGCCTAGCAAGTAAGGAATAGTTAATTGTGGCATGTCAATTTGATGGAATATGTGCTTATTAAACATGACACATACGGCAAAGTTCTAAAAATATGTTAAGTGAATTCAGCAGGAGACAAACAAGTAAATCTGTTATGATTACATGAATATAAGAAATATATAGTGAACACATTACAAAAGGAAATGAACCAAAGTATTAATAGCCATTGTGTCTTCAGGTAGACAGATTAATATGTTCTTTTCTAATTTCGATGTTTTGAAAAATGTGTTATTTTGTGGTATGATGGATTGCTTTTACATGGCTTTTCTAGCTATGATTTGTAACTCCCACCAAATAATTAGGTTGCTGTTGTTGAGTGCCGTTTATATATCGATTCAGACTCATAGTGACCCTGTATAGGGTTTCTGAGACTGTAAATCTTTACAGAAGATTTCATGTTTCTTCCATGGAGTGACTGGTGGGTTAGCAGCCCAATGCTTATATCCTATAGAGTTGGGACTATGCAAATACAGTGCTTGTGCAATGCAAATGAGGTGCATGGCACTCTTGTGGAAATTGTTGTTCCTGTGAAGTGCCGTAGAGTCGGTTCCGACCCATAGCAACCCTATATTTTCCGAGGAGCAGCTGGTAAGCTTGAACTGCTTTCCTTCCAATTCAAAAGGCTTTGCAGTCTGGCACATTAACCCACAGTGCCACACCAGGACTTGTGGAAGTGGGACCACATAAATAAGGTGTATGGAACCCTAATGAGGGGATTGGTTAGTCTTGCCATGCTCTAGGCTTAAATGAAGGGGCCCTTGTGGCATAGTGGATTACATGCTGGGCTGCTAACTGCAAGGTCAGCCGTTTGACTCCACCAGGTACTCTGTGTGAGAAAGATGAAGCTTTTTGTTCCCACAATGATTTACAGCCTTTGAAACTCTACACAGGGTCTCTATTGAGTCTGAATAGACTCAATGGCACATTGTCAGCCAGTCAGCCAGCCAGCCAGCCAGGTATAAAAAGAGCCAGTTTCAAAACAGAGGGAGACCTCACTACCACCAAGAAAAAAAGATGGGAGTGAAGCATGTCCTTTGGATTTGGGATCCCGGCACTGAGAATCGAATTGCCTAGACCCAAGAGACAGAGAATGGAAACATGGAAGACAGCGAAAGATAGCAACACAGTGGTGGCGAGAGCAACAGCTTCTTTGTAATCTGCTCCAGAGAGTTGTGGTGGAATTTGCCAACAGTGGAGCTAAGAGTTGTAACACTTGCCCAGGAAGACCCTGAGCAGGGCCTAGCAGCAGAGGGTGAGAAGAAGCTATTCCCATCAAGAATGTATCCTGAATTGTTCCTGTTACTTCTGAGATGTTTCTGATTCCGAGTTACACTTTGTTACTTCCCTGACAGCCACGTAACTAGTAAGTATGGTTTGTGAGTTCCGTGAGATGTTACAGCAAATTACAGAACCCACAGAACCCAGACTGCACGGAGAGTACCAAGGGGAGGAGGCACAGTTGATGCTGGAATGGTACAGTAGTTTAGAAAAATTAGACATTTGGGACATCTCATAAGAAGCCAGTTTTGTGCTCCTACTTCAAAAAGAAAGTACTTATTTATATTTTTATTGTTGCTGTTGTCTTATGCCATTGAATCAATTCTGACTCATAGCAACCCCATGTGTCACACAGAGTTAAACTGCTCCACAGGGTTTTCTTGCCTGTAATCTTAATGGAAGCAGATTGCCAGACCTTTTCTTCCATGGTGTTGTTGGGTGGTTTCAAACTGCCAACCTTTTGGTTACCAGCCAAGCACAAACTGTTCATGCCACCCAACCCCACATCCACTGCCATGACAGTTCCAACTTCTAGCAACCCTATGGGACAGAGTAGAATTGTCCCTTAGGGTTTCCAAGGCTTTACACAACCAGACTGTCACATCTTTTTCCCAAGGAGCATCTGGTGGATTTGAACTACCTACCTTTTGGTTAACAGCGGAGTGCTTTAACCAAAGTGCCACCAGGGTTCCATTTATGCTACCTTGTTGTTGTTACGTGCCGTCAAGTCGGTTTCGACCCATAGCGACCCTGTACAAGGCTTCCGAGGCTATAAATCTTTATGGGAGAAGAAAGCCTCATCTTTCTCCCATGGAGTGGCTGATAGTTTCGAACTACTGACCTTAAGTTAGCAGCCCGATTCATAACCACTATGCTACCAGAGCTCCTTATTTATGCTACCTAGAGACCTGTTATTTTTGTAATAAATATACTTAGTCTCCAATCAAGAAAAGATCACATATTATAATTATAGGTATTCCCTACTTTTCAAAAGTTCACTTTATACCACTTCATTTTTATGAAAGACTTACATTGTGGTTGTTGTGAAGTGCTGTCAAGTCGGTTCCTCCCCATAGCGAACCTGTATAGGGTTTCTGAGGAGTAGCTGGTGAGCTTGAACCACCAACCTTGCAGTTCAAACAACTTTATCTGTTTTTGCTAACTGAATGAAATTCCAAGAGGATTTTTGCTTTTACAAAAAAAAAAAGTGAAAAAGCAAAACTAGCACTCAGCATGTTTTCGCAGCAAACCATTAGGGAGGCAGTGTGCACCCTGAAAATACAAGTTCCTTCCCCTGGAAAAACACTCAGTACCTCAGCAACAAGCCACCACAGCTCTGAACTGTGTCTGTGAACACTGCTTGCATATGTTAGTGTTATTTTAGGTTTTATGTGTTCTTTGGTATGATTTTGGTAGGTTCCTCTTTTAAGGTCTGGGAACACTCAGTCATTTCCCATAAAAATTAATGGCATTATAGAATTTATACTCAAGTGTAAATGGGGATTTAAATAAGCACCCAGGCATGGTAAGGGAAGTTACTATGGGAACATCTGCTCAGATATTTGCAACTTAGATAGGTAGGTAGTTCTGGAAAGGCTAGCAAAAGGAAATGTTATTTAATGTGAGGTTGGAAGGATAAATGGCAGTTAGTAAGGCAAAGATGAAACCAAAGAATCCCAAATAGAAAGAACAGCACATGTGAAGATTAGGGGGTAGGAAATAACACATTTCCACTGCTGTTTTTTGACCTTTATGTATGTTCATACACTCCTTATGCTACTTAAACATTCAGTAATATAACTGTATGCATTATAGAGTGTTTATATTTTAAGAATATCCTCCCAAATGTAAAAAAAAATTATACAAAAAATAGAACTAATGCAGTTTGTAAATGAGTGAATGTACACAATGTTTTACACACCACATGATATTTTATGTACCACTGGGGATGAAAACTATATGTGATATAAACTTAAGAGGAAATGCAAAAAAAAAGAAAGAAAATTCTCAAGCATTAAAAAAAAAATTTAAATAAAGGTGGTATTAAAAAAATAATAATTAATGGTAATTGCTTCTATGCTTGACACCATTTCAGCTTACCAAAGGTTTCACAGAACACTCTACTTTCAGAAAATGAGGGAAATCTGTATTCTGCTCTGTGACCACTCAGCTCAGCTACCATTCAGGATTAATTTGTTGTTAAATGCCGACCAGTTTGTTCTGACTCACAGCTACTCTGATAGGGTTTCTGAAGCAGGTTAGGATTAATAATAACCCTTATTTAGTATATTGGAATTATTTACTGAACACTTACTGTGTGGTGCTTTAGGATAAGCAATGGATTGCAAGGTCGGTTTGAACAGCAAAGTTGGCAGTTTAAACTCACCAGCTGCTCCTTGGAAACCCTATACAGGGTTGCTATGAGCCGGAACTGACTCGACAGTACTTTACAACAAAACAACAACACCTGTGCACCACACCTGACTGTTTAGACTTCAGATAAGTAATATTACCTACTCCATTTAGCAACTGGGAAAACTGAAGCTTGCAGAGGTGACATGACTTGTCACCATGCCTGGACTGGAACCTCAAGATTCTGGGCCAGTTGTCCATGTCAGCTAGAAGGACTGGCCCTTCTTTAGATGGTGGTAGGCATTTCCTTACCAAAGCAAGCTGTTTGTTGAGTACCAGAGTCATGATGTCATTGGAGCATGTGGGCTGGATCAGGTCCATGAGCAGCTTCTGGTTGCAGCTGTCTCTGGGAAGGGTGGTCTGGACTGGGGGCGGTGAGGTCTGTGGTCCATCAGCTGTGGGGAAGCAGAGGCAGGTCAGGTGGTCAGTCACTGAGCGCACTCAGCCCTTCTATAGTTAGATACTCTCATTGTCCCCATTTTGAAAAGGAGGGAAACAAGGCTCAAAGAGGCCAATGTACTTGCCCAACATCACACAGTGGTGTGGGAATGCCTTCCCAATGTGTGTCAGCCTATCCAAGAGGACAAGTAGAAGGGAAGGAAGGGTTGAGAGCTCACCACAGGTGAGGTCCTGGAGTGAGATGGCACTGGCCAGAGGAAGCTCCACAAAGGATGCCACGACGCTGGCGTTGAGCTTCCGGGCCTCTCCCAGCAGGCCTTGGGGAGTGTCTGAGATCACGGACCCAGGAATGTTCTTCGTTGGAAAGATCTTCAAGGAGTATTCACCAGTGGTCTAATGGCAGAGAGAGAGCCAGTGCAGGGAGCCTCTGAGTCAGGGTGCAACCCGGATTGTACCAAGATCAATTTTCTCTTTGCTCCTGTTGTTTTTTCTGCCTGGGTAACTCTTCCCTTCACCTAATGGCTACTGTTTGTCCTTCAATTCAGGCGGGGG